ATATATATATATATATATATTTTACTTCCAATGCAACAATACTTTATTATTTATTTATTTATATAGCACACACTACATGTTTTGACCTCAAATGAGTCATTTTCAGATGCTGCAAGTTTCTCACGTACTATTACCGAACTGCAATGTTAATGTTCCCATTTTTATAAATGGTTCATATGAGTTAGTTCCTATTGAATTCACAAACTAGACAAAACTAGACTAGACTTTGCTTAAAATTAACAATAAAATACAATAAAATAATAAAAATCAGAATAAAACCGTATATGTGATAAAGTCTTTTGTATAACAATAGGTTAAACCTAATTTAATAATTAGGTAATCTTGAATCCACAATTTGATATTTAAAAATGATTTAAAAAATGATCTTTCAAAATGTTATAAGATCTGAGTAGCTTTATGTTTGTTACTGCAGTTGACCATGCATAGGCTTTGTCAAATTTCTTCCACTGCTTGCTGCAGTGGCTCGCTGTGTTAGTATCGTAATGTTCCAATTTTCCTAGAGAACAGATCCCTCTTCTTTCATGTTGTCGGGAGCCAGTGGTTAATGTGTGCTGTTTACATCATGCGGTTCATTGTACTGCGTGGTTCGTAGTATGAACTACTGGAAGCAGTCCTCCACAAAGGAAATAAACAGCTGCTGTACAGTAACATGAAGATCTGACCGCTACCACCAGACCAGCTTTGAAACTTCCAAAACCATGTCCTGTAGGAATCTTGTTTCTCATCATTTCAGTATGACTTTCTAAATCTTAATTTAAAACCTGAAGTATATTTAGTGTTATGTTGGATTTGATCAATTGTAACTAGAAAAGAAATTATAGTAGCACTATAGTTTGTATGTAGTCTGTCATCATTTGTGTACAGTATGTGCAAAAATATACAGTACTGAAATGAAAAGATGTCCTATTGATACCACTGTCTTTTCATGTGAAGGCCCCTTGCATGACAGAACATTCTCAAATCCTGAAGAAATGGTCTGATCACCATGTCCCTATAGCGTTCTTGGGTGACGGTAAGAGCATTGCCTTCCTCATCCTCAATGGAATAGGGGCCTAATATACTGTGTGCTGAGATGGCACACCATATTGTCACACGTGTACTATGTAGCGGTTTCTGAACAATAACATCTGACCGCTCAAAACCAAGGAATCGAGTTGTCTGGCGACCATTTACGTATGAGCGAAAATAATACACAACTATGAATGCTTTTTCCTCCGTTGAGAGACCCATTTCCAAAACAACTGCACAGCACAACTTCCTTTTCACTACTGGGAACACGTGCGGCTAGAGCTATGCCTCATCGACAAACGCACATGTGCGTTCGAGATGCACAAGTTTCAGTACTGTATATTTTGGCGCAAACTATTACCTCAAGAATCACCTGATTATGACCTTTCTTGACTGAAACATGTTGTGAATTGTTAAATATTGATAACAATATTGTTTGTGTGGTGGCATCCCCTCCATTTTTAGGTGTTTTAGTATTCGCTGTGTTCTGGGCTTTGAGGTTTTGTCTCGACATACCTCATAGCTACAGTATTGAAATAAGTTTGAACCAAAAGTTTTTCTGGTGACAGTCTATAGTTAGAATGCATTTGTTTGCGTTGAGGTTGTGCTGCAATGAAGGTTTCATATTCTCTTGTGGTTGAGGCGCTCCATCAGCAAGAATGAGGAATGGTGCATTCTTCTGCTGGTTGAAAGATTTTCTGGCTTTGAAAGTTTTAACTTCTTTTTATGAATAATTGGTATGGATTTGTGTTCCTGAAGACACCATCACCAGAATCTCTGCTGGTTTGACCAACATCAGTAAGCAGAAATTCATAGTTGACATTAACAGTGACTGTCAGTACAGAACTAGGCGTCCCTTTGTAACTAAAATGCAAGGTGTAGTTTTTCTTCCCTCACATTACTTCCATTAGCATTGCCAACTCATTACCATCCTGCGCCTGAGTACTGTTTTTTCACCACTTCACATTACTCACATGGTCCTTCTCATTGCAGTTTTTGTGGCAGATCTTGTGTGGAAATGGAAGAGGTTGAGTCATTTAATATTTAAGTAAAATTAAATAAGTAAAGGTGTCCCTGTAACAGGCTGTGGAGACCCATAGGATTGTGAGATGTTGAGGTTCCTACATTTTCTAGACAATCAGCTCATAGATGGCGGCAAGGTTGTCAGGCCTATGCGCCAGTCGCCCTTTACTCCCAAGAATATTCCTGGTGCTCATTTCTGTTAGAAGCTGAGTCGACCTCAGGGCCATATTTACATACTTAACATTGCTTGTGACTTGAATAATTTCTGTATTATGTAAGAATACAAAACAATAACAAGAGCTTGACCGTTGTGTTTATTAATGTTCATAAAATATGAAATTTTTTAATTATATAAATTGTAGTCAGATTTTATTAACGAATGTGACTGATGCACACATTATAAACAAGTTAAATTAGCAATAATAGATAAAGAGATATTCCAAGGTATCATAGGATAATGGGGGCACATGGTCGTGTAGTTGGTTGAGCACTATCCTGCAAGCTGGAAGGTCGCGAGTTTTAGTCCCGATGAGGTGGGTTTTTTCAATTTACCTAATCCTTCCAGCCACACTATGGCCCTGGGGTCGACTCAGCCTCTAACAGAAATAAGTACCAGGAGTCTTCCTTTGTGGTAAAGGGCAGCTGGTGCATAAGGCTGAAAATCTTACAGCCTTCTGCAAGCTGATTGTTTAGAGAAAATGTGGGAGCCTCACTGTCTCACAACCCTATGGACCTTCACAGCCTGTTACAGGGATAGCTTTGCGTTTTGCTTTTTTTACATAGGATAATGTTTTAAACCAAAATGTTTTGGCCAGGATACCAACTTTCATAACTGAAGTTGTTTGTGGTTTTCCTTAACCCCTTCAGGCAAATGTGAGAACTATACTTCATTGAGACCATGATCACTTCCTTCCAAATCCTTTCACTTCATCGTTCATCCATTATTGTACCATTGGATGATATTTAATCTTTTTGAAATAACCACAGACAAATTTAGGAATGAAAACAGTTGAAAAAAATCAGCTGCCAGTGGCACAAGGTGGGAAAGTATGTGACTGAACATTGCTGCAGTGTGTGAGAATAAAACTGTGTGATATTTTTCTGAAGTTTATTTAATGATGCTGTCAGTAATTCAGACTTCAAGTGATTGGCGTGACCTCCCAGGGGTACTACTCAGCTGTATAATGGTTTAAAGTTTGTCTGGTAAATATTATTATATAAATTAAATAATAGACATTCGATGTATATTGAGGAAGGATTTATTAAGTATGTAAATGCTGTTTGTGTTTCTATACTGATATTTATGTTAAAACAGGCAAAATATGAGGAAGGAGTGCGTCGTGAAGAATCTCTTCATATTGTGACTCCAGACTGGGTTGTGGATAGTGTGCGAAGCCGAGGGAGGTGTGAAGAAGGTCTCTATCATCCTCGTCTGCTGATCCTACCAAAACCCCGCCCTCCTACCCCTCCTCCTGCTCTTCCACCATCGGCTGTGTCAAGACCATTTGGATCCATAGGTAGGTATAAATTTTGGTGATACTTGCTTCTGATTTCAGTTGCTCTTTTTCTTTTCGTGTTATAATATGCAGGAGGAAAGGACATGCATTCAGAAGTGATACTGACATGTGTTGCAGCATCATAATTGTGCATGGGAAGTTAGGATTTAGCATATTGTATCAAATTAACTGAAGTAATATATGTAAATAAAGATACCTTAAGAGAATTCTTCAGTCACCTGCTATGGAAAAGCCGTAAGCCAAGTGTTCAGTCATTGAATTACTTGACTCATTACATCATACTGTATGGTAAGTAAATTCAGGCCTATACATGTAAGTCATGTTAACTATAAGTCATTACATTTCAGTACTAATTTTTAGGCCTCTCCTGAAGTTTGGGTCATGTGACAGTATGGTTCTGTCCATTAAAATTTGTTGGTTCCATAGTACATAGGTAAGTCAGTAGTAAGTTACAAATGGGTATAGAACTTAAACAGATAAGAGTACTGGTTTGAAAAATGCTTTTATTTCTCAACATAATCTCCCTGTAAATTGAGGCACTTGTCCCATCATTTCACAAGCCCCCTGAAACCCAGCAGCATAAAATTCTTTGGGCTGCTGTTGGAACCACGTGGTGACTTCCCTATCTACAGCTTCATCGTCAGGAAAATGTTCAGCCGAAAGATGATGTTTAAGAGGGCTGAACAAATGGAAGTCGCATGACAGGTTAGGTTTTCACAAAGTGTGCAGAATGGGTGCCGCACATGCTGACCCCACAACAAAAAATGCAAAGAATGGGTCTGGCATTACAGCATCTCAGTCGCTACCACAGTGAAGGTNGCTTTCTTCATAGTCACCGCCGTGAAAGCCTCAAACCTTACAAAGTGAAGATTACTTTACTATATAACCCCGTATCAACATAACTTGCTTAATGAGGAACATACCAGTGAATACTGACAGCAAAAGTGTTACCAAACTCCATCTAACATGAACACAGTCCAGCCAGTACTTACTACTGCACAGGTGGAGAGTACAATTCAGTTCCAGGAACTTATTCATCGGTATCAAGTGGTAACTAAAAACGTGACACACTCATGTACTTAAACAGGTGTTACATCTCTGTTTGGCCACAGGTGACAATAACAAGTCAGGCAGCAATGACAACAATGGTCTGCTTTCAACAGCTCAGATCTTGGGATTTGCAGATGAAGTGTTTGATAGCAAGGATGTGGGTGGTGGACAAGGTAGCAAGGCATCTCTTCTGGAACAGTTGAAGCAGAGGATGCCATGGAATCAGCCACAGTCTGCAACACAGCAGAAACAAATTTTGACAACAGTGCAACACCAGCAGGTAAAACTTATTACTTAGAGCAAGTAAAAGATATTGATTTCTATTGTCATCTTTAATTAGTTATTTATACCAAGACATATGTTTGCATTTTCTGTTATTGCATTGTTGGTAGTTGGGACATTATCCCTGTTAGCATTACATGCAGTAGAGTACCCAAACTTTTAGACAGTTAGGCCATATTGAAGGATATGATATANTCCCTGTAAATTGAGGCACTTGTCCCATCATTTCACAAGCCCCCTGAAACCCAGCAGCATAAAATTCTTTGGGCTGCTGTTGGAACCACGTGGTGACTTCCCTATCTACAGCTTCATCGTCAGGAAAATGTTCAGCCGAAAGATGATGTTTAAGAGGGCTGAACAAATGGAAGTCGCATGACAGGTTAGGTTTTCACAAAGTGTGCAGAATGGGTGCCGCACATGCTGACCCCACAACAAAAAATGCAAAGAATGGGTCTGGCATTACAGCATCTCAGTCGCTACCACAGTGAAGGTCACGATATGCTAGCCCGAATTGTCACAGGTGATGAGTCTTGCTCCAAGCGACTTCCAGCTTAGGTTATACTGCCTCCATGTTCTGAGCAAAACTGTCTCAAGTTACATAAGAATACAAGGTTCACAGTTTCTGTGCTTAAGAACAAAGCTGAATTAAGGTTTTCAACAGCTTGAGTTGCACAGTCTTTGTGTTCTGGAACAAGTAGTGGCTTACATCAGAAAAGTTACTTGGTGGAACAAGTGAAGATTATGAAGAAAGCAGTCTTCTGGGATTTGGCACCGTGTATATGTGGTGTTAACCGACGTTTCGGAGGAACGTATCGACTCCATCTTCAGGGTAGAAGAAAAAATATAAGAAATCTGCAAGCGAAGAGACCGTGAAGACCCTGAAGATGGAGGCGATACATTCCTCCGAAACGTCGGTTAACACCACATATACACGGTGCCAAATCCCAGAAGACTGCTTTCTTCATAGTCACCGCCGTGAAAGCCTCAAACCTTACAAAGTGAAGATTACTTTACTATATAACCCCGTATCAACATAACTTGCTTAATGAG